CGATCCCCTAACTTTCGTTCACTGATTAATGAAAACATCCTTGGCGAATGCTTTCGCAGTAGTTAGTCTTCAGCAAATCCAAGAATTTCACCTCTGACAGCCGAATACTGACGCCCCCGACTATCCCTATTAATCATTACGGCGGTCCTAGAAACCAACAAAATAGAACCACACGTCCTATTCTATTATTCCATGCTAATGTATCCGAGCAAAGGCCTGCTTTGAACACTCTAATTTTTTCACAGTAAAAGTCCTGGTTCCCCCTACAGCCAGTGAAGGCCATAGGGTTCCCCAGAAGGAAAGGTCCAGCCGGACCAGTACACGCGGTGAGGCGGACCGGCCAGCCAGACCCAAGGTTCAACTACGAGCTTTTTAACTGCAACAACTTTAATATACGCTATTGGAGCTGGAATTACCGCGGCTGCTGGCACCAGACTTGCCCTCCAATTGTTACTCGTTAAGGGATTTAGATTGTACTCATTCCAATTACACGACCCGAAAGAGCCCTGTATCAGTATTTATTGTCACTACCTCCCCGTATCGGGATTGGGTAATTTGCGCGCCTGCTGCCTTCCTTAGATGTGGTAGCCGTTTCTCAGGCTCCCTCTCCGGAATCGAACCCTAATTCCCCGTTACCCGTTGCCACCATGGTAGGCCACTATCCTACCATCGAAAGTTGATAGGGCAGAAATTTGAATGAACCACCGCCGGCACAAGGCCATGCGGTTCGTTAAGTTATTATGATTCACCAAGGAGCCCCGAAGGGCATTGGTTTTTTATCTAATAAATACACCCCTTCCGAAGTCGAGGTTTTTAGCATGTATTAGCTCTAGAATTACCACGGTTATCCATGTAGTAAAGGTACTATCAAATAAACTATAACTGATTTAATGAGCCATTCGCAGTTTCGCTATAGATCGCTGGGACTTAGACATGCATGGCTTAATCTTTGAGACAAGCATATGACTACTGGCAGAATCAACCAGATATCTACCTCGAGGGAAGAAGCCCTGAAGCGCCTGGAAGGCGGGACAGGACCATCGACCCTTTCACCCCCGGAGGAGTTAGAAGTAGTTAATAGGAAGGGGACGGCACCGGCGTTAACCAGCACACGACCCGACGAGGACCGACCTTGCGGCGCACCGCTAGGACGACCTCGACATTCGTTTGCCCCGTCTGAATTTCTCAGGT